CAACCATATCATCATGTGTGCTTTCGGTGTTAGACCCTTTTTATGAGAAAGATAGGTAAGAATAACAACTAAAAAATTATATATTTGTTGAAGAAGAAACGAATCAAATCAAACTATGCTTCCAGTTTCACTACGCCACATGAGTGACTGAGCAATTTGCCATTGTTGGACATTGAAGTTGACTTCACTCACGAATTGGAAATTTTAGATATCATAGTGCAGCAAATGCTCGTTAACAACTAATTTGATTCATGTTTGCTGAACAACAATTTAATATTCATTGCTAACCAATGAGCATTCGGTGATTTTCTGTTTAATCTACACTGCGTATTCAAATCAATAAATAATCAGTAATATTTTTCATATAATTTAATTTCATTATAAACTTGACCTACTTTTGGGAGGAGGCTGGACAGAGGGACCCATTTACTTCAGTGGACTACCCCCCCCCCCCTCCACGCGTCTTAATCGGACACTGCACTTGGACCCTTAACATGAACCTCATTATTTATATTTTCTCTGTTTGTTGGTGCAATATTTTTTTCACAGAATTTTATTTATACTCATTGTATATTCTTCAAATTTTCTTTTACATTGCACTTAAATAGCCCAATCGTTTGATCAAGTACAATGCTAAGAGCCTCAGAATACAAATCATGTCAAAAAAAATTCGTAACTTTTGTTTATTGTTTTCTTTGTTGATCTCGCCTTTTGACTTTTCGCTTGGCATTAACGATACTCACAATACACATGGGCCATCCATATCTTGTCTTGTCTTCAAGACTTAGAAAAACACCATTAAGAAAAGATAACACTTAGATCTTATCTCACTTTTTTTTATCAATTCATATAAATCACTTTAATAAAAATTTGTCTTTAAAGTTCCCGTGTGCCATTTGCATTTTCGCTAAAATATCAAATTTCTCATGGCTTAATACACGCTAAATATATACTCAGATTGATTATTTATCATTTAATTGAGAAAAGAAAATCAAAATACCACCGCTAGATCCAGGCTTGGATTCATTTGGATTTAAACTATGTCCAGCAGATTTCTCCGCTACCGATAAAAGATGGAAGGGTCTGTTGCGTTCGAGCAGCATTTCAATTCAACGTTACATTGTAAATACTGAAAGAATTGAACCCGTTTGCACTGATATTCCTATTAGAGATTCAACTTTCACACTATCGTAGTTTGCAGGTGATTGTTATGGGTTAAAATGGCGCATCGTAATAAAATGTACTAGTAAATGACATAAAGAAATGACACAAATTGGAAATATATATGTTTTGCTGTCTTTCGAATGATTATGTCAAGAACAGTTTTCCAATACAATAAGATAGCGAGTGCATCCGATAACATGATAATACATTTCAAAATGAATGCTTTAACGTGTAGAATATCTCATTTGTAATCCTATAATCCAATAATTTATCAGGAACGTCTATAATTTGTTGCAACGATATCTCTGAATACAAAAGATGAATATAATGAATTATGTAATGCAATATACAATTATCAATAATATGCCCTAATTTACCTGTGTAGAAAACTATAATGACAGTCTGGATACCTTTTAGGTGAATGCATTGAAAATTGTTAACAATTTAACACCAGTTTAAACTACATATTATTTTCATTACGTTTATTCAGCCGGATGCTCTGTTAACATCTAGCGATAGAGATTGTTTATTTTGTTTAATTTGCTGAGGAATTGTAGACATTACGTTTGCAGCAGGAGAAAATATTATTAATCAAACGCAAATTTTCAAGTCTTACATGATTTATTTAATGTCTCCAGTTGGAATAGACGATTGCCACCTAGCAATTTTGCGTATTCGTTTTGACTGGATATTAAAACAATTCGATGGTTTTTATTGGTAGAACAATCTGGGGTCCGTGAATCACATTACGCGACCTGCTATTAAATAATGTGTTTAGACCTAGACAAAGTGGAATAGACAACCCACGTTCGTGAGTGACGTCATGTATTTTCGGAAAATTTCGTTTTGATCGGTCATATTACTATTAGTGTTTTACGAGCGAGCGTTGTCTAATCTAATCCATGCCATGACCTAGTGAGTTGATTATGACCTTGCCATGTGCATAAATGTCTACATAACAATTTGTATAACATTTTGAGCTAGATAGAAAAATTTAGCTCTCGCGTAATGACTTTTACACATACCCGATATAATTGTAACTTCAAATCACCGTTAAATCGAACTTATTTGTGTACTATCTGGCGACGTACCCCGGAACTCTGAGTAATTTTTCTTTAATTGAAACCATGGTCTGTTATACAGCTCCTCAAGTTTTTTTAAACGTTAAATCTCTTACGAAAAGCAGCATATTATTAGAATTTCTCAGACATAAAATTTATTTCTTCTACGTAATCAAGGTCTTGAATTCATTACTCTTAACACTTATTTCTATAAACAGAAGGGTGTGTGTGTGTGGGGGGGGGGGGGTAACGTGTGTGTGTGTTGTATCGTAAGGTCTGGTATTGAGTCAAGTGGCGTGGTTTCGCTTCTTCACTTTTACGTGACAAGGAGTAGAGTCGCCTGTCCAACCTCGTGGGTTCTCTCCGGGTCCTCCGGTTTCGTCCCACTGCTAAAGACCCTTACGCACAAGTAAATTATTGAAATAAAATTGAACAATATGTTAGTCCCAAAATGACCTAGTTTGTGTCGAGAGGACGTTAACACCCATTTCTCTCGCTCTCTGTAAACAGGGGCACTACATTCGTAGTCTTAACCCTAATTTGTGTCGTATCGTTGAGGACCTGGCTAGTCGACGTATTCCTTAATGTGTCTGCTAATCGTAGTTATACGTTTATCTCATATAATGTTAAAGTTTACACAGGCGTATCACATCAAATAAAAGCTCTTTTTCCGATAATATTTATAGCGTTTGTTAGATCACATTTCCAACGTTTAAATAAACTAGGTCCTATTTAAACCGAAAATTTCCGATTGTGAAAGTCATAATTTTCCGGAGGTCCCCGCCATGCAGTGGGGGTATGAGAGACATTTGTCCAGGATATCAGAGTTTCTGTCAGGGGTTCTTTTACGTGTACGCCAATATAATAGACAACTTCGTCCAATTTATTTTTATATCGATGTCTTCATTTTACTGTTGTATTTATTACGTTTATCTCCATTTCGACCCGTTTCGTCGTCCGGAGTACTATAGGCGTATTTGTTTTTCTTATAAGCCTTTCTAACAGACTAGTATAATGACGGACACATATAAGTTAAGCTCTATCTAAGCTGTAGGTGATGTTAAAAAAAATAGAATGTTTATAGAAGCTTGAGAGATTTTTAACTGACACATTACCTTCAATTTAAAACTTATAGACAAAATACAAATCTCATGGAAAATGCTTTATAGATATTATGCCGTGTATAGATATAGGTCATACATTGCGGCCCAAAGTGTGAATGGACGAAAACTTTGCTCTGGGCTCTGGCTTATAATCCACGTTAATCAATTCAGACCTTTCAAATTTGTAATCTCTGCCCAGTTATAAATGTCAACATTAAATATTTCTTCTAAACATTTATTATACGCAATTTATTTTATTGCCTTTTTTCTTAAACATACATTATGCAAGAGCTAAATCTGCGTACTGCAAATCTTTATTTAGGCTTTAGATGTTATAGAAATTATTAATTAGACCTTTATTTACACGACAAGCTCAAAATCAACCCTGCAGACCCACGGATGGCATAGATACAGTTTGGATTTAAACATTCGTCCATTTAAAATTAAATCAATAAATGGCGGACCAAGCTAACGTTTACCATTAGTCGCTGCAATGTCACTACCGGAAATTGGTGATGAAAGGCCTGCCAAGCGAGGCTACCATAGCCATTGAGCATGTTACTTGATAATCGAGAATATGTGGGTGGAGTTATCGTCTGTCAGTCAAACGATCGCCAATTCTCACAGACTAGTGTATTGATGCCTATTTCTAGTCCAAATATCCAACAGTGACAATTCCGTTCAGAACAAAGTAATTTGACTGAAATTTTCAACATTTTCTTTTTTTATCATCTATTTTTGAATTATTATTGCAAGAATAGCCAACTCTTTATATGTATCTTTAAGTTATTATGCATTTTAACTAAATTCAGTAAAATAGGTAAACATTATGACTGCCTGTGTAGGGGTGCAAAAGTGTGTTAACCCCTGGAACCGAGTGCTCTCTCTAAGCCATGTAATTCAAATTGTGCAGGTTAATGCAGTCTTAAGTTTTGTTTCAAAACGCCTGTATCTTGTAATAAATCAGTGGATCGGGCTTTAAAGGAACCAAATCGCTATTCTGTGGCACCTAAAATTGAACACAGATCAGCAACGCATATAATAATGTGATAATGTATATAAACTGATTTATATTCAGTCGTTTCTGTAATTTATCGTTACTTATTAACGATAGGCGGTCATGTAAATGAGAGTGTCCCCTTTCAATAACTCGAAAGGACTTACTAGTTATGAACATGCATAAAGACACTGTAAAGAGAGAAAGGATGATTGGAAAGTAAAAAAAAGCAAACGTAAAAGTGTTGAAAGAGCTGAGCAATCAAGCAATGGCTGAAGGGCTATTATATATATTGACTTTAATTTTATCCTGAACATCTTTTTATAAAATCCGCTTACGTTATTAACCAATCTCAGAATTTTCGAATTACGGCCAGCTACAGATTCCTTTTATTCTATGTGACGTTAGGTCAGATTATTTTAAAATCCCAATAACTTGTGAGTTACATCAAATATTGCGGTAAGTTTTATGTAGCTTTAATATTTTACTTGGGTTTACCCCTTGAGTTAATCGAAGTTACATTGGCGACTACGAAAGTGCTGTATAGAAATAACTAGCGGATAGCGGCAACTTCCATTAACCTAACAATTTCTATGTACGTTAATTTAAAATATCCAACAACGTTCGCCTGAATCAATAAAATGTCAAATTCAACTGTTGACAAGCGGAAATTACCTTTGAATATCAGCATGGAGAAAAATAAGGCCACACAAAACAGAAATAATTTAACGATGGACGATCGACGTCTTAGATATCTCCAACACGATGCTCCGTAACTCTTGTAATTCAATAACGCCATACTTGGTTAGCGCTGTATAGGTCAACCTCTCTCGTCTGCACTTCAAGCTATAGATCGTTAACTAAAAAAAAAAGATAAGAGAAAAATATAACCACAATCTTAAACAAATGTAGCATTACATATAAAAGCAAAGTGTCGTTGCTGAAATTGCAAAACCACATATCGACCGATTTTTCAAAACCAAAACCCCACCTTGAGTTGTAAACCCAATAAATCTTAATGATAAAGAAAAACAAAATTGTCTTTTACAATCAAATTTATACATGTGCGCTACTGAGCGCTTATTTAGTGAGTAAGACGCTGGCTCGCTAACCTGGAGGTCGCGTCTCGCTCCAGGTGTTGGCCGAGAAAGTTCATCTGAATTTCCCGGCGTGATTTCCCTTTGTTATTGGTGCATGACGGAGGGTCTGACAAGGATAGCTGTCTAGTCATTCGGATGGGACGAAAAACCGACGTCCCATAAACACATTGGTGTTCACGTAAAAGATCCCTTGGCAGGTGGAATTTAATATAAGAGTAGGCCGTAGAGCCGCTGTTCGGGCAAAATTTCTCTCATAGCACACTATATTGGGTATGCCCGTCTTCAATAGCCCAGCTGGAGCAGAACAGTAAGACGTTAAACCCTCTTTCATTTCATTTCATTTCTTATTTAGTGGATATTGGTGCAACAATACCACATAATGTCATGAATTGGCATAGTTGTCCAAATTTACCCGCCACAAAGCTGACCTATATTATAAAACTGTGTGAATTCAAAACGTTAGTAAGCTTCTTCCTTAGTGTTAAAGAATTAGCAATTTGAAACAAGTTTTATGTCTTCTGTGACATTCTTTGTCTTGAACATCAGGAAGCCAATTCCAAGGTCTGAGATCAAAATATATTGAATTTCAAGAAAGTAATACTTATTACACAATTAAGTGTTTTATGGAACCTATTCGGCGAATCTAGTCTGCCTTTTCAAGCTTTAAATGTCAATTTAGTGCTTGTACCTCAGGACCCGGAATTAACAGATCGTTATCTTTAACGGACAGAGAATCTGTTGCTGGAATTTCCGTTAACTTTAAAACTTTAACATGTCGTTAACTTGCCATTATATTTAACGAAGGTGTTAGGCTCCGTTTGATGATGGCATTAGTCTACTGTCAGTCGAAGTATACCCTTGCACTGTAAATAATTTTTGTGTATTTTTACCGTAAATTTACTGGAAGAAAGTTGCCAGTAAAATGACTATATTTTAACACTGACTTGTAAATTTACACCTAAGCGGTAGATTTAGATTTACAAACAGCATGCAAATTTACAGAGAGTGTAAAATAACTTAGGTGTAAATTTACATTGTGCTTGTAAATAGAAAGAGAGGTAAATTTACATTCACTCTAACTTTACACTGTGGTTGTAAATTTACCTCAAAGTTATCTTACACACACTCTAAATTTACACTGTGGTTGTAAATTTACCCCAAAGGTATTTTACACTCACTCTAAATTTACGTGGTGTTTATAAATCTATAAGTTTATAAGTCAGTGTTAAAATACAGTGATTTTACTGGCAACTTTCTGTCAGTCATTTTACGGTAAAAATACAATTTGAAGCGTATATCTACTTGAAATATACTTGAAAAGGTGACATTTGTAAAGGGAATGTGTTTGTCCCCACGCGGCTTAGTAGTCCTAGGTTCTATCCTGGCGAACTCATAAAGTTTTGCGGACCTTTCAGCCGAGCATGCAAAACATCATTCGATAATGGAAAGAAATTAAATAAAATGGGGTTTACTGTTCTGCCTCTTACAATGGAAAGAGCAGGAGGCATGACACGAAGCAAAATGTCCCACACAACACTATTTATGGCATATCACTGTCTCCATACGCCAGTTAGGTGCATTCAGATTTTGAATAACCTATTTCTCTAAAATAGATTAATCTTACTGACATAACAGTAAATATTTTGCACAAAATTCGATATGTGGTCAAGGGGAATAACCGATTTGAACACTATTTGACAGTAGATTTACAATTTGTTGTAAAAATACTATTCCAACTGGCATTTCTGTTAATGTAAACTGACATATGGTTGTATTTCTACATTACATTTGATGTAATATTACATGTGGCCGAAGAGGGAATAAGCGATGTGGGCACTATTTGACAGTAAATTTGCAATTTGCTGTAAAAGTAATAATTCAAATGGCATTTCTGTTAATATACAGCTCACATAAAGTAAACTGGCATATGGTTGTATTTCTACTTTAAGTTTGATGTAATCTTACATAAGCTTTGTATTCATATGCATTTACATGGTTTTAAATGTAAGTTAACAAACTATGTGATATTTTAAGTATACTTATAACTGTAAATATACATATAATACATATAATTTTAACAGCCAGCTTAATAGGGATCTTTTACGTGCACGCCAATGTGTACACGGGACTTCGGTGTTTCGTCCCATCCGAACGACTGGACAACTATCCTTGTCCGGCCCTCCGGCTACAAGGGGAACCACGCCGGAAAATCTGGATGAACTTTCTCGGCCAATGCAGGGATGGAAACCCGACCTCCAGGCTAGCGAGTCAGCGTCCTACCTACTTAGCCACCGTGACCCCCTCATAAGTGGACTATAGACAAAAAGGTCTATCAATGTTAAAGTTCTAAAGAGATGTACAATTACACGTTTCCTGTAAATTGTACACAAATACCGTATTTAAACATGTATGAATGGTAGAATTACCCCCAAAACGGTTAATATACAACATACGTTTACGTTACCAAACATAGTTGTATCAATACAGGTTACATATAATAAAAATACTTGTAAAACTACACTTATTTTTTTTACCGTAATTCCATGTTACCTCACCAAGACAGTAAATCTATAGTATAAAAACACGCAGTGATATTTTTACAGCGTTATGTTAAAGAAATTACATATTTTTCACTGTAATTTTACATTTATTTTTCAGTTTAGCAAAAAGTCGTAGAGCATTCCTGTGGTGCAAATCCTACAATTTTTCATACATATTTAGTATTCTATCGAACTGTAGAAAATTATACCGTTATCTTTTTGTCTTTAATCAAGTTTTGTGAACAGACTGCAAAGTCTTTCTTGTTAATACTAACTTCTATAAAGTTATTATACATGTACACTAAATTTAAAAATTTAAAATTTAGCCAATGACCAAACAGTTTTCTCATGGATTAACTTTAATCAGTCCGTTAGTTAACGGATCATGAAATTGACTTTCCAGCAACAGGAATTTAACAGACCGAACAAACGACACGTTAGCATGATAACGATCCGTTAGAGTTTTGAGCAACCGGTCCCAGATCTTTACGACATGAATTATAACGTTGCCGTTTGTTAAAAACAATTCATACAATAATAATACGGGTTTTATTAAAATATCTTAATTTGTCTTCTGGTCCCAAATAGCAGATCTCGCATAATATGGAACATTTTATATTGCTGGCCAATGTCGACATACCACGATCTATTTAATACTATACATTATATAAGCCATCGGCTGTAATTATAAGCAATGCCAGGAAGTCTTCCTTTTAGTTAATATGCATTATTATAGATTACAAAATCTTATGATGTCATAACTGAACATTATAATACTATATACTAAGAGAATTATAGATTATTACCATTTTACAGCCAAATTAAAGACGGACAAAGATAACTATAGAGAATCAATGAATTATTTGTTTTTGACATGCTATTTAATGGTATTAACATTATTAATTCGATAATCGATATATTAAGACGTTTCTAACGGATACATTGTACATACTCGCTAATTATGTTATATATATATTCATAATAACACAACTTTATGGATTTACTACGTCTTGGTTTATTACATGCAACGTTTCAATACTCTTACAGTTATCTATATCAAGCAGTGATCAATAATGAATAACAACTTTACATTTATAGTACACCCATGAGTAAAACAATTTAACATTTAAAACGTAACAATAATTAAAACTTATAACAACAACCATATCCCTTTGAATATGACTCCACTATCTCTCTTACTTATGATAGATAAAAAAGGGGGGCAGAAGCCACCACCTGAAACTTCATTTTAATCATACAACCAATGTCACTTACTAAACAAATAAATTAGTTTGTGTCTTGCATGTCTTTTTAATGATACGATAATCTTAAAAATTTGATTACATTAGGCAATTAGGCATAAAAATTATAGTTCCACTGATTAAATCATAAAGGAACGCTCCACTATTAACTGCATTAAGATAATAAGTCTTTCCATACATTTGAAATAGATCGACCATTGTTCATTTTAGGTTTATAACGTTGGATTTCTAAGGTTTCCTACAATACTTTTTAGTCAGCACATTGGTGTTATCCCATTCTATGTTGTGGGTAGGATGTTCGGCTACAGCTGGTTTGCTGGTTTCCATACGTGTAGTTGCTGCTAGATGTTCTTTGAGTCTCACAGATACACTGTTTAAAATGGGTGTAATTAAAAACTATAAGCAGTATTAATTAAGTGTAAACTTTGCACCACAGCTAGCGTTTTGTTTTAATGTAATACCTTTCCTAGGGTAACCAACTAAAAGAACTACACCTAACAAGTGTAGCCGATATTCATGACTACTGAGCACCTGAATAGGCGTAAGTGTGGGGTGTTTTGAATAAGCTACACCACTATCACTGCTGTACTGCATTTACACTAAAGTGTGTAACTATTATTGGGGAATAAATCATAGAACAGCGTTAATTTTACTGCGTTTATTGGGTTGCAAAAGTGTAATCGATATCCATGAGTACCGAACACCAGGATAGGTGTAATTGTAGCCGGTAAAGGGTGTTTGGGATGAGCCACCCCTTTACAGGCGTTTTATTGCATTTACATCAACAAGTGTAATTATTTTAGGGAAACATTCCTCCGAATGGTGTCAATTTTACACCGAATCTTGCGTTACAAAAGTATTTGTGTACTCGAATTTGAGTGGTTTTTTTTTAATAAAATATGGCGTTGATTGCGCTAGTAACATAACTATAACTAATTTTAGAGTGTTTACTCATAAC